ATATATATATATATATACATCCATGTATCCATTTACATATATACATATACACACATATATAGGAACTCAGGTGGTGTAGTGCCTAAGGCACTTGATTGCTAACCAGAAGGCTGGTGGTTTAAACTCACCAGCCACTCCTTGGAAGGAAGGCTGGGCAATCTACTTCCATAGTGATACCACTTTGGAAACCCAAGGAGGGGTCGCTATGAGTTGGATCTGACTTGACAGCAGTAAGGTTTGGATACACATATATACATACATACGTAACTATTTATATAACAACAGAAACACCTTTCTGAAAAAGCAACTGCTCCCAAATGTCTCAGGCAGCTACTTTCAGGTCTGAGGTGAGCGAGCAAAGGTCACTTACAGATTTTCCTGGAAGGTCAAGACTGCGGGTTTTTGGTGTTCCATGTAAAAGAAGGCCTCCGAAAACCTTCGAACCTGAGAACAAGACAGTGTGGACAGTGTAAGGCCTTAGGCAGGCACTGTAGCTGATATTATTTAGAAGAATACTGCGGCCCAAGGAGGTGAGGGCGTGCAGGAGGAGAGCTGGGCCCACAGCCGGTTCCTTGCCCAGGGTCTCCCTCATGTCCCCAGTGGCCCTTTCTCAGCCACACTCTGAGCCCGAACTTGGCTTGAGGGCAGTTCACTGGCACATACGAATCAGTTCTTACAGTACATCCTGCCATCTTTACGTCCAGCTCATGTTCATTCTGCCAGAAGCCGAGCCCCTGCGTGCGTGCACACGCGCGCGCACACACACACACACAATCCATCACTGTCAAGTCTACTCTGACTCATGGTGACCCGTGTGGGTCAGAAGAGAGCTGTGCTGATCTTTTGGAAGAAGACTGCCAGACCTTGCTTCTGAGGCATTCTGGGGGGACTTGAATAGCCAATCTTTTGGTGAGCAGCCCCACACACTCACCATTCACACCACCCAGGCACCCAACAGCAAAGCCAGTCATGTAAGTGTGTTGCTTAGGCTCTGTGGACACTCCGATACTTCATCCTCTTGCTGTCAATGAGAAGGTCAACATCTTTTATCATGCATTAATGTGCCTGACATTCATATCTCCCCCATATGCACCCAAGCTGGTGGAAAGAAATTCACTAAGAACAATGACGTATATTTGATAACACTTAAGACCTTGCTATCGTCTGCGATCGTCAGGGGAGATATCTTATGAAGCAGAGCGGAGCACCAGTAGGCTAATGAAGGTAACAGCCACACACACGTCCACGGCGGAACAAGGGCCAGCCCTAGTCTTTTCTGCTTCCATAGACTGCCTCCTGTAAACTCCCTTCCTGAGAGCCCACTGACAGGTGTTCAGAGCCGCTATGGCACCTTACCCTCAAGGTGTGATGTTCCTGGGTGAGATAAGTGGTCACATGGCTGTGCAGAGTCACTGTGTCCAGGAACTGGGTCCACAGAGCTGTCAGGTGGGAGGCAAGCCAGGCGAGATCCTTGCTTATCTGCTCAGCTATTTTCTCTGGGTTGGTCAGCATCTGGAGAGGCAAAAAGTGGCCATCAACGCCCTGTGCTCTAGTGTCCTACTGCAGCCTTCTTCCTGACATTTGTGCCGACTTCTCTGTTTTTCATTAGTCTCTGCCCTTTCTCTGCATACTTGTGACATTATGTGATACCCCAGAGCCCTACAGGATCATGCTACATATCACTCTAAAGCTGGGACTTAGAACAACAACAAAGCAAACCAAACTCACTGCCATCGAGCCAATTATGACTCAAAGCAACCCCCACTGGGTTGCCAAGGCTATAAATCTTTACAAAAGCAGACTGCCTCATTTTTCTTCCATGGAGAAGCTGGTGGTTTCGAATGGCTGACCTTTTGATTGGCAGCCAAATGCCTTAACCACAATACCACCAGAGCCCTTTAAGACAACAATAAAATATTCAGTAGTTTCTCTGTGTCTACAGAATAACATGCAATCCCCTTTGCCTTACACAGGTCACCCATTAGGTAGCACTAATCTAACTTTTCTATTCTGTTTTATGTATGTTTCAGACTCAACTCACTCTTGAATTCACACAGCTACCTTGAGCCTGTCCTCTGTCCTCGCTGCCTTTGTCTATACTGACTCCTTTTCAGTTGCTGTCTGCAGACTCTAACCCTCTCACCACCCACCTCAATTGCCCCAGGGACACTTTTTTTTTAGTTTTTCATTGTGATTTGGGTGCCAATTTACAAAGCAGATTTGTTTTACTCTCAACAGTTCATGCACATTTGGTTTCACGGCCCTGATTACAACCCCAACAATCCGAAGCTCTCCTCCCCTGTCCTCCCTGCTACCCACCCCTCCCGTGCCCTTCTCATCCATGCGTCCCTGTCTGCCCAGCTTTCCCTCTATGCAAATGCTGCCCTTCTGATGTCTCATGGCTGATTGATCCAAGGGGTGCATCTCCCTGGGGTAGGTGCTCTGCTTGTAGGCCCTTCTACTGCTTGGCTGAGAGCTAATCCATGGATGTGAGTCCAGTTCCAGGCCTGAAGGATAACCTGAGGCCATGGTCTCGGTACAGAGACGCTAACTTCAGAATGACTTCCCTGTTATCTCCAGTGGGAAACCAACC